CACACACAAGGTATGCAAAATGAAAGTAAACTGTCCCCTCCACTTAGAGATACATTACATCAATGCCGAACAAGTGGACGGCATTTTAAGAGTTGCTCATCTATTAACATTAAAAAAAGTCCACAATATATTCTACCTTTGTTAATATCTTTAAATATGAAACACGTAACAAGCTTTAGTTGGATACCCCCTGGATATATTCAGATGATATTATTTCTTGTATGGCATAATATCCTGGGGAAATACATCTTATAGCTTCCAGACTACAAAAATGGACGAATAATAAGCAAATTCCACCTACATGATTCTTGTAAGCCTTTCTTTATTAATCAAGGTGTTTTACCATTACATTTCCCTTGATTTACAAATCAGTGTTATTTGTCAAAAATTACTTATATAGGGTCGGGAATATATTTACAGCACATACCGATGTCTATAACTACAACACTCAACGTAGTAATCATATTCATCAGGTGACAGTATCAACAGCTTACTACAAACAATGTACATACAATACATCTACATAATTTTACAACACTTTGCCCGAAGACTTTAAACGATTAAATGCGATACAAAAGTCCCAAGTAAAATATTTGCTGCTGCATAACTGTTTCCATACAATTAGAGACTACACCGAGCATCCAAAAGGAAAGTGTTAATTTTAACAATGATATTTAATGTATTATTTACCATTTGGACTGTATAATTCTAAAGAACCACTATCAAGTATTGTACTTCATCTTCTGGGTCCATGACTCCCATCTCGATCATGTTTTCGTCCAGTTTCCCTGATTCTTGAGTAAATACTGAGATGGCCCTATGTATTACTTCTTGACCTCCCCATAACACGTCACACAAAGTTTTTTAATTGTTTGACGTCAATAAATAAATAAGAGGGTGTTGTTTAGCTTGTTTTGCCATCAGAAAACATGGCGGTCAGTAGTGCAACGTGTTTCAACCATGGGCGATCTATTTGCACATAATTCCTCTCTTCTTAATTAAAGCTCGTTGTATACGAATGATGAACAGAGTGCTGTATTGTATTGTGACTCCCTACTGCATTCCGTGAGTGCGAATTTCCGATTCTAATATTTACTGTTACATGAGGTTCCCACTTCAATTTAAGGCGCTTCAATCCAGAAGCGATTTTTGAAACATTTTAAACCCAATAGAATTAAAGTTTTCAGTACGTCAGAATATATAGGCGGCTCCACATATTCGGCATTCGCCGAGCAGCTCGTCCAATCCAGAACAGCTGATGTGTTCGGCGAATGTTCGCTCCCTTTGATGTGTCCTAAAGACCGACACGTGGTTGGTAGGGCGAATACCTAATGTGCGGCGCTCGGCGAATCGCAAGCAACCCGTCCACACTGCTCGGAATGCCGCATGTGTGGAGCGTTCTTAAGGCGATGCAATGCACGGCATTGGACAGGACGGGAGAGGTCGTAATCGGGCGCTATGTTGAGGGACAGGGCATGGGTGCCCGTGCCCTCCTGACCGTGGGACAGGGGAAGGGAAAGGCATCGCATATGGCGAAGCGAAGCCAGGCGGTGTGGGGTTGTAAGTTAAATTACTTTGTGCTGGTGTTGGTCGGGTATAAGTTATTTTAAAGCGATTACGTGTTCGTGCTCTACCAGACTAAAAAAAAAAACTTTCACTGCGCATATTCAAAAGTGGCCTTCCCTACCAAAACTACAAACATTTCTCCGCCTGCCTGCACTCTGTCACAACATCGCGCGCCATCTCTTTCTCTCGTGGGTCGCGCGATAATTCAACACTGCGAGTTTGGCAATAACAAACTGATGAGTGAGAAGGGTCAGAAGAAACGCAGCTTACGTGTTTCTGCAGTAGAGGTTGTCCAAACGATAAACAGAAAACAAGCTGTGTCTTGAAGAACTGTTCAAGTAATAAGATAATGTAATGGACCAACTCATCGATGAATTCGTTTCTTAGGACACTCCTGGTAGTGCGAGTTCCTCTTGCAACAATGAGGGCAGAGATGACGAGTGGCCGCCTCGTCTTGTCGCCTCCGCGATTCCTTATCGCCGAGAGAAGTCTCAGCTGCCGCAGGGTGGGGGAATCCTCCGAGACTACACCGAGGGTTCGTCCGCCATGATGGCTCTTTTTGCGAGCGGTACAGCTTCGTCGCTTACCAATCAGGCACAAATGTCTTACCTAGTACTAAAACTTCTTTATATGAGATTTCTCAACTCATGTTCATTCGCAAAAGTGATAATCTTCAATCTCCTACATGCCCTGAAAGTTGCAGCATTTATTCTGAGACATTCAGTATACTATGTACAAGTATAAAGTTCCTCAAAACTTCTTTCTGGATCCGCTCCTGCATATATTGTAACATTTTGCATTCTTTCTATGAATTTCTCTTTAAGACGAATTTTGCACTTGTTTCTCAATTATACATTTGTAGTGTCGTAAGAACAGACCCTCTAGAGTGAGCCCTCTTTTCCTTTAAAATTGGTAGCACAAGTCAGTGCTTGCTAGCTCCTGATGCTCACTTCAGCACTATATACCACAGGAAAGTTGAAAATGCCCTCCACCTACTTATATGCACTTCTAGCTTGTGTAAAAAATGTGTTTCGTCTCTAATTTATTGAAGTTTTATTTTCTGTATTTAAATATGCCTCTGATTATGAAGGAGGATTTCCATAAATATTGTGAAAGCAATATTTATATGAATATGAAACATTGTATGTTGATAATATTTCTTTTTTAGGCCAGATATTTCATTGTCATGTGATTCCTCTTTGCCTTTCCTAACACCCTGATGAATACAGCTCCTCTCCTCTTTTGCCATTTATTATACGAGGCCTAAATGTTGATAGCTTTCTTTTAAGGTTGGTGTTGAAACTTGCCCAAAAGGCACAGATTCCAAGAAAATATGACAAATTAGCAAGTAGTTGCATCAAATAACTTCACAAAGAAATATAATTAGAGGACAAACATGTCATGAAATTAAAGTCTACCTTCGATTCTAAAATATGGAAACAATTAAATAGATACATGATGGAATTTATGAAGTATTTTATCATTGTATATCATTATTGATAATTTTCCATGAATACATCTTTTTTCAACAAAAATATAACTTTTTGTTTACATTCTCAATTTCTTACTTTTCAGTTGTGTCTGTGTCTGATAAAGAAACTTCTTATTTATACGCATATTCATGTATTTACACACATTCACCTGAGACAAGTATTTTTAATCAGCTAACTTCCTTCTGATCCCCCTCTAATTTATTGCAAATACCATCAGCTGTGTACAATATTCCTCCTATGATTATGACATTGACTAATAAGTATATTTTTAAGCTATTTATGAGAGATGCATTTTAAAACAATATAAGTAAATATTCTCATTTTTATTGCTACTATTAAATGTAATGAAAAAAATTAAAGAAGTGAAGCAAATATGTTTAAAGAATCCTGTATGAATTTTGAGGGAATCTCTAAAACAATAGCCTAGATATTTCTTATCTAAAATAGATACCCCGAATTTCATCGGAACGTACTAAACACTACAGTACTATTTTTTTCTATATTCATAATAAAATAATATGACATGTTTTTGAAATTCAGATTAGGTAATTTATTGTAAAAGACCAGATTTTAAACTCACTTTAATAAATAATTTAATAAATCAATGAAAGGAGGCACATTAAGAGACGTTATCGATAAATTGTTCTCAAAAACTTCATTGAGAATGTAGTGGTTATTTAAATAAAAAGATCATATACTGAACTGCTTCAGACCAAATTCAATAATATGCTATGCTTCTAATCAATCTCTTCATGTTAATCTAGTCCTATGTAAGAGCTGAAGAGATAACATGGAGAGAATAGATTTTTTTTTTTTTTTTTTTTTTTTTTTTTTTTTTTTTTTTTTTTTTTCACTTGTCTAAGTCCACACACAAGAGATGAGCACAAATAAAAGCTCTGGAGTAATAACAATATCAGATTTCTGCCTTAAGGGGCCCTAAGCATGACTGAACTTAATTATAGCCTTTGCAATTTAAAAATGTAATAAGGAAGTAATTTAATACATTTATGAACTATATAAAGGGGTATTTAAAAAAGGTATGGGGGCCTTTATAGTGGGGACTATAAGCAGATGCTCAAACTGCTCATTAATTAATCCACCCCATACACTGCAGTTGGGTTTGTACAATATTTGTCAAACAGGACGATGAAATCTGAGTTGACAAAAATAGCTTGTGCTTCTTCAGTTTGATGCATTTTTGAGTTCTATCTCTTTCATTCATTCATTCTGAACCTTTAGTTTAACATCGTCCTTTAAATCTTAGTATGCTATTTTAGATGTACATCACTTTGTTGTCTTCATTACCATTGAAATAACATTTTAGATCTTCAAACACAAGATGTTTTGAAAAAATACTTTTCTCTAGAGGTATGCAAGCTACATGAGAGTCAATAAACAATATCAAAATTTTATTGAAATACCCTTCGTCACAAACCTTCCATTTAGAAATGTTCGAGATTTATTAATAGTAAAAGATATAAATACAAAAAATATTCAGTATGACTTTATGAATGGAATTTGCTACTATTAAATATAATGAAAAAAATTAAAGAAGTGAAGCAAATATGTTCTAAACCTGTATGAATTTTGAGGAAGTCTCTAAAACAGTAGCCTAGATATTTCTTATCTGAAATAGATACTTGGAATTTCCCCAAAACTTACTAAATACTACAGTACTATTGGAATCTGTATATTTTTACCCATTTTAGGTTTAACAAGTATCTTCAAAAAAGTTTCCTAAAAATTATTTGAGATGATATCCAATTGGGATGTAGCTTGCATAGTAAGTGTATAACCTGTTTATGAATCTGATTCCAGGTGGGAACAATAACAACCTAAGCACTTTATCTATGGTGTTTATTCTTGTCGGCGTGGTGAAAGGGGTCTTCATTTGCTTTGCATTAATGGCTGTTTGCTACAGGTATTGTGTCCTGCCAGAAAACGTCGATTCATTACTCTCTGTTAACCCCAAATCATAAAAAAATAATTCTCTTCATAATACGCTTGTTAGCTCATGTCCTTTTTTGTGCTTGTGTTAGTTCTTTCTTGCATCCCAGTCGACATGTGACAAGATGCCTGGACAAGGGATGGTTTTGTATGTTTTAGAATCTGGATGATCTAGAGTAACAATGAACTGGGCTATAGTTAAATGGAAATTTTAGACAGCAACTTTACTCTAATACAGGCAACAAATCTTGGCATCCATGATTTGATCACACTATATATTCCATTTTCTGAATCTTAGCTGTTATGAGGAAACAATTGTGAAAATTTGGTAGATTTCTTCTTTTAATAATATCTTTTTTGTAACCATTCTATGAAAAAACTTTATTATTATTATTATTATTATTATTATTATTATTATTATTATTATTATTATTATTATTTATTTTTTACAAGCAATATTTCATTACCTTACCACATATTAATATAACATCTTTAATGTAATTCCTTTGTAATGACTTATTTTAAAAAAATTAAAGATAAGTATGAACAATTATTGCTGTATGTAATTGCATTTCATAGCAGAAGTTTTGGAAACTTTACATTTCGAGTTTTACTTTTCCTTCACTCATTTTTTCTATAACAGAAATTGATTGTTAGCTAGTAGTCTTGAGAAAGTAGAACTTAACAAGCTCTGAGTAAATGTGATATGGCTCCCAGATACATAAAGCACAGTGTAATGAGATTTGAACTTCTTACAGCTATGACTAATTGAGCATGGTGCCAAACTATTTACATTGTTTGCAAAAGTTATTTCTCAATGCAACTTTAAACAGCATTTGTTTTCATGGTAGGTGACTATTATTTGTCTTTATTTATTTGATATGTACCATTATTTTAGAAAAAATAAGAAACTGGTATTTCAGAAATAAAAGTCAATTATGAAATCTCTAAGTCGTAAACAAGAAATATTTCAAAGGAGGGTATCTTGTCACGATATGTTATCCTATTGTGTAATAATTTGATTAATGCACAATTGCTGCTCATAAAGTTTCACCTACATAGATAACTGTCATATTTTGCATGTTTTAATTTTAAAACTAAAGATAAAGTCTAGATTATATTTAAACATTATTAAAAAATCACTGAATAATTTGCACTCATTCACAGTAGAATGGAAGAAAGAAACAATTATAACTAATATATGTAATATAATTTCACAAATTGCTTTCTCAAACAGCATTTAAATGAATCCTAGCATATTATACCTAAAGACCCTGTATGAGGGTAAATGTAGCTGCAAATGTGTTTTGTGCATCATCCTTCATGTGTTGTGTAAGTGTTTGGACATGATAGTGTTGATGTTATTTCTTTCATTTTCTCATTGTAAGTATAAGAATTTCTTTCTTTGATCGCAAGATTAATGTAAGAAAAACTAATATGCTCCAGTTTCTTTCATATGGAACTAACTCTCAAGGGCCAGTAAGAGTTTTCAGTAACAATGAGGCAATGAAAGATATCTAATATATATTGTGAAAGCTTGTTTGATATTTGCTTCTATGTTGTCTAATTGCAGTGGTCCTGTGACATCACAATTGCTTCGCTGACTTGTGTCTTCAGTAATCACGTTGTCTGTGTTGTCTTGTTTCATATATACTGAGCAACTAACAGTATTTTATTGCTACTGTTGGTCTATTTTGAGTACTATTTGTTGTATGTGTGTTTTGTGTGGGTGTGATTGTGTATTTATGTTAAAAATATGTGTCTTCTTTATTTTGTAGCTGGTAATTAACTGTTTTTGACATGTGTGTAGGTGGTTGCAGTTCAATGGTTTTATTTAAGATTGTGAAAAATATCTTGGTATTGCTGTTTTATTTAATTTAATTGTGATGCATAATAGTCCTGTGCTGATTTATTGCTTTTCTCTTTTTTTTCTTTTTTTCCTTCTTTCTATCTCTTTCTGTCTGCATGCCTGGGCATCATTTGGGAACTGTCCCAACATGACGATGTATATTGGCATCTCCCAACACAATCACCGATTGGTTCTGCGTCAACTGTCATCATCATCACGGGATACTAATATCGTAAATCAATCTGGTAATATGTATATATTATTCATTATTATGAACTGGAACATAAAAATAACTATAATATTGCTGCCTCCTCTTCAATATAACATCTGTGTCTCCTGGTGGCAACGGGTGACATCTCGTCTACTGTGAGTCACTTTAAACTTATCTGATGTCTTCCCCTCATATTACTTATTTATACACACCTATATTTTTATTCCTGGCCATGTTCAATGATACAAAACAAATTTCCAATATTTTAAATTGTTCTTTTTAATTTTCCTATTTTGTAAATTTTTTTTTTTTTTTTTTTTTCCAAAATATATTATGGTTTAATAATTCTCTTCCCTATCATTACAATAACTGTAACTAATGATTTTGTCTACAAATTTCATTAAACATTTTCTTTTACTTTCATATATGAACTACTTTTATGTTAATTTATTTTATAATTCTTGTAGAGAGTTATCATGGCACCAACACGGTGTTTTTGGTAGTAATGCTGATGTCCGTGGTAGGGGGGGTTTTCATTGTTTTTGCCCTGATGGCCCTTTGCTACAGGTCAGTTGTAGTACACAAAAACTTCTCCCTGTGCCTCAGGTTAGTGAGCAGAATACAAATGAGCAGGTAGTTTTCACACACTCACTTGGTTATTTGCAGCCCTTACAGTAGTTTTTCAAAACATTTAATTTCTTTTTAGTACTTTTTTAACATACTTCCCTGTCCCTTTGTGTAAAATATTTTACTTTGGTCAGGGTATCTTTAAATACGTACTCGGGATTTATGGAGAGAATCAGAAAAACAAATTCTCTTCATATATGCCCAAGCCTTGGTTCAATCTCAAACAGCCTGTATGCTTATAAGGTAATTATTTTAAATTTTAGGGAATATTGATAATCTACATACACAATTTTAATATCATTTTGAAGACAAATGTAAATTCTTTCTTCAAGAACAAAAAATCTAGCTATTTATTGAACATTTATATATTTTACTAATATGCTGGAAAGGAAGGAAAACATATTATATGTTTTTATGAAATAATTATTAGTATTTAATTAGATGATAAGACAGGAGTGTGAGTGTGTGTGAGACTTGTTTTGCTAACCTGATTCCTAAACTGAGGCAATTTCTTATTGTGCAGACTTTATTTTCAGTGAAATCTGCAACATTCTTGTAAGTTACTTATTTATGAATGCTCCCTGTAAAGAACACAACTATTACAGTTAATAAGCGAATTTTCCTTCTCCTTGCAAACCTGATTTTAAAAATTCTCTTTCATCAAAAGTATATTATTATTAATTTTACGACTACTTTGGCACTTCCAAAATTTTTAATGGCACTGTTTTGTGTGAGAATTGGTTTTTTGCAGCACTCAATCAATAGTAAGATTAAATTGCTGACATGAGCATATTCATTGTACTAGAAAATGTTCATTAATAATTCAGTTCTTTTTATTGAATATGAATTTTTTGTACAATGGAATACATGTATATTTTGATTTAACAATTATCTTTCCAAGTTCAAGTTACTTTCATTTTTTTAACAAACTGATCATTTTAAAATCAGGTATGATATTTACCTGTTATCAATTAGTTCCTTAATTTTTGGGGAAGAAATGTCAATAAAAAATAAATAACATTTTTGCTCATGTCTAGAACTCACGAGTGTTTTTAAACAATTTTTTTCACCTTTACCCATATATATTGTTTTTCTTTTCATGTATGTGTGTGTGAATGTTTTAAGCACCTGTTTTACATAGCTTCTTCACCATTTCACTTATGCTATGAGACCCACCGGCAACAAGAATCCACTTTACCATACAATTCTTGGTATTGGGACAATATTCTCTTCATTTCATTGATGATTTTATCCTAGTTCTTTAACTTTCAATCACTTCAGGTACACATGAAATACAATACTTTGTGTACATATACTACTGAACGTGACTGATTATTTGAATCTGTTTGAAGAATAAATCTTGAGTTGTAGTGTCTATTACTACTTTTTACATAAACTATTTAATTTTTTTTTTTTTGTCATTTATATTGGAAATCCCAAGCAATTTAGAGGCAACAGGCTGCATAAGAAGTAATCGTTCCTGTTGGCAACATATTCACTTAAAGAAAGAACAAAGCTTGAGATTGAAAAATGGAATTCATTCAACTGAGGCGTATTTAAATAATACCATTTATATAGTGTTGTTTCTTTCATAATCCATTGTAATGTAGATTCATTAAGAATTTTGTAGTATGTAGTATCTTTGTCACATATGTGTTGTCGAATGCAAATCAGTTCCCTTTCTGCACTATATTCCACTAATCCTGCTGGTACAGAACCCTATGATTAGTGGAGACTCTCTTTCACATTGAAGTTTAGCCTTGTGTAGTGGACATTTCATTTTAGTGACACATTTTCATGAAAACAATAAATAAATATAACCTTGATCAAGAATTTGCAAGACAGACTTCAATGTAAAATGATGTATGTGTTCAATCAGAACCTCTTTGTAATAAGTAATATTTGTAAGGCACTACATTATCACTTCTCTTTTATTATTAATTTAAATGCATCATCATTTAAAAATATTTAGTATTTTTACGCTCTGTGATATATGTGGAAAGTCATTTTACATATGCATGCTATTCATACCTTCAACTTCCCTTCTGCCAAGTCTCAGTGATTGCCTGGGCGGTAGCATACTGGCTTCTTTCTATATTGCTATGTAAATAGCTATCACCAGTACAGTGATGTGAAAGTGAAACTTAAGTGAAAATGTTATAAGCATATGAGTACAATTACACTGTGTTATGTTCACATATATTACAAAAGATAAATGTAATGGCTAGTAATCTCTCTTGAAGCTTTGTAATCCCAGGTGGACATTACATTTTTGTCACAAAAGTAGTAAAAACATTGTAACATTGATTATGTAATTATCATTAATAGGAAACTCTCACTTAAGTACTTTAGACACAAAAACCCATTTCTATTCTTATATAAAATCAATAAATGCATATAACAGAATGATAAAGTGTGTTAAAAAGTAAAGAAAAAGAAGGTACATTTGCCTCATCCTAAATTTCAATATGTTAAACACTGGTAATACAAAGTAGATAGATCAAGAAATACATTTTCTTTCAAATAAAGTTATTTTTCTCAATTTGTATGAATTAAAAATTGGATTGTAAGATATTATTTCAGTTTGCCACAGAATGAAAGTTTTTTTTTGGAGAGAGAATATAATGTGCACATCTATATCAGAATTTTTTGAAAGTATAAAAACTGTAAAATCATCTTTCAAATAATTTTTGCCTTAAATTAATAATTGTTCATTTCAATATTCTATCAAATAAAGAATATTTTGACTCGTTATGAAGAGATGCCTCTCCTGCATCCAACACCTTTTGCCTTAATGTTCTTATACAGTGAGATGGCCATCAAAGAACTATTTTTATTCTCTTCACTTTCATCACATTTCTAGAGATTAGATAGTAGATCAATGCCATAGGAAGATTTACTATTCAAATTTAGTTACACACTAAATAATTTTTTTTCAAAATAGATATTTCATTTTTTTATTTCTTTTCATTTTTAAATGAGTTTGTGACAGCCAAACAGCATTAATATATTCAGTCACGTACAGATCCTTATCTTCTTCTGTACTTGTTCGCTATAAGTACTGGTAATATTTGCACAACTGAATTTTTCCCTCTTTTTTGTTCTTTTTTTTCCCCTCCTGATATTTAGTAGTGTGTTAATAGCCTTACTTTAGTAGGAAATAATATCTCAAAATGAAGTTCTTTCAAAAATTGTATAATTATTTGTTTATGACTTGCCAATTAAGGAATTTGTTTTTCAGTAACCGTGAGTGGTAAGTGGAACAGA